TATAATTCACAAAAGGCCAACCACACTGTACCGGTTCCGTTATAGTGCTCTATAAACCTGGAAACCATAGATCTCAATTTCGCAGTTGCATCGGATTTTCAAACGGCGGACCTGCTGGTTTTCTAGTTAGGATGGAAGAATCACAGAGTTGATGGCCACTCGAACGAACATGCGCTTTTCTTTTCTAGAGAATCCATCTTTACCCGGTTTAGTTGTAGTAGTCCCCGTTCTTAGATATTGTGATGCAGAACCAATCTTATCGTTTGGATATGCAATCTGGGCTGGAATCGATCTCACGAAAACACCGATTTTCGACCTCTCGATTTCGGTAAGCGATACAAGTGATTGTAACTCGTGCTGACCCACCTGGATATATTTTTTCCTGATTCAAAATCATCCTGGATGACGTGAGCATGTTATCACAGTCACCATGCGGAAGTCAAGACCATTACACCCGTTCTTGAACCGATTCAGGGGTTCGAAGTTCATGAGATGCAGTAATGTGGCTGTTCAGAGTCTCGGAAATGTTGACAAAATCAGAACGGAAATAATTGAAAAACCAAGGGGGTGCAAAACGTTTGTCCTGATGTGTATAATTATAGAATTGCTTGTATTAGACAGTTTACTTTTGCCTATCTGAATGAATAATGCCTGCAACTTATCTACTTCTAGGTTATTATTGTAAAAGGTATGAAAACCTCAATCAAACTGCTTTTCTACATAAAACATACATCTTGAATGCGTGAAAGCACGTAAGGAACATTCATAGAAAATACATTCTGACAGAATATCTGTTGTTGCATTAAAGAATAGTCAAAATAAACAAAACATAGCTGTGTACCCAAAAGAAGATGGAAGTACTGTCCATAGGACACTGCCTCGTCCGGTTTCACTTGTTGCGCTCGAACGAAGAGTTCGTTTTGAAGCCATAATGAAACAGCGTGGACTACCGTCGACCAATGTTGAGTATAATACACACGCACACGATCGATATTCGCATCGGATCCGAAGAATGTGCCACCGTTCGCCGGACGTTGATTGGCCAGTTCCTCAGGAAGAGTTAATAAAGCATAATCTTGCAGTACAGCAATCCATGCCTGTGCGAGACTAGGAAGAACTGGTCGAACGATGTTGGACAACATGTGATAGGCCCGGCGGTAGTGCCGTCGTGAAGGCCGATCAGTCATTGTGGGACATTCCGTTCCATCTGCGAATGAAAAAATTGAAACATTATTTATTCAAAGTTGTGCTCTTCTTTAGGACAGTGTAGAAATGACATTAGAATATTTCCTTTCGGTAAATAGTTAAACGGGTGTAATTAACCAATAGACAGGAGTGACACACTGCAGCCATAAAACATCTCGATCCATGCAACTCAATTAAATTGTTGAAGTAGGAACGGACTAGCCCGGTTAAATTTACAAACAAATTATGCCCAAGTGCTCTCCCACACATATCATATGCTGTAGAAATTCCCGGGGAATGAATGACAACCAGTAAAGTGCAATGACCGCGTAAGGGATCGATATAGGGGTTAAGAATGACACTCCCGGCATCGTATTGGCCGTTCGACTTTTCGTCCCATTACTGAATGGTTTCAGTTGTTGAGCTGTTAGTGTTTATTACAACGTAACGTGTAGCGATCAATAAAGATTTATTGTAGCCTGATAAATGGTGAATTTATTCAAATCGGTATCGATTGAAGAAGAGAACACTAGGATCGTACGATTATCAGGAAGGATCAGTTTCAAACGAAAAGTCACATAAATTTTTTTGTACTTTTGTTCAGATAGTGAAAATTCGCATTCGCATCTGGTTTACGTAATCACATCTTCAGGGGTGAGGAGGAGAGCCAACTTATTTTTTTGATGGAAGTTGTGGAGGTGTTAAACACTTTAGTGTGATCACAATGGAAAAGTTGAACCCTATGACCATGAGGGCCGGCTGTTCATCTATGAGAACCGATGACTAAAACTTTGAGTGTGGGTGGCGGACCGAGTTAGTATTGGCCTGATATCGCGTTCGAATTAGTTAGTTAGTCATCATGATACAAAGGTGAGGACATGTTAAACAGCATGACTCAACATACAAGACTAATTTCAGGGGTTTGTATGCTAAGGAAGCGACAAAAGTAAATATAATGTGGAAAAAATAGGGAAAGAACTACACAAAGCGATAAGACTGTTCTTAACAGGATAAAACTGGAAACAAGTGCGTTGTCAGTGATCGAGTGTCCAACTCATGAAACCTAATATGATGATAGCAGGAGTACAGAAAAAACCTACCTCTAAATGTCATGGTAACGAGACAGTCATCGTTGAAACGCTGCCTAGCATCATAGAATAACTCCTCCCCAACCTCGTCTTCCACCGCCTCCTTTGCGTCACACTCATCCTCTTCTTCCCCGTCACTTCGTCCCTGTTCCAATATGCCTATTCCTTCGGATTGTTCCTGTTCTGAATCGATTTTATTCTTACCGCTAAGGTACCCGTAACGCATTGTGACAATATAGACATCGGCCCAAGAACGCAACACAGCCAACTGTTCCATTGTGACCGCGTCTTCGCAGTACAATTGATCGGTTGCGATTGACTGAGACCCTCGATAGTTTACGGGTGAACTACGAGGAACCGGGTCTATTGGGAGTCGAAGATGAGCCGCTTGCATTTTGTCAAATGCTCGACGAAGTAGCTCATGCACGCGTTGCAAATCGTTTGGATCACGAGCCACTCCAGATCCGATCCACATGCTGCACACTTGACAGGCCACAGACGTAAGTTCTGGACTCGGCTGTGTAGCTGAAATTGGCTTGGACGTGCCA